AGTGTCACTGGCCCTCATATGTGGGATCCGAACCGGGGCCCTCTGGCATCCCAAGCGAGTTCTTAACCATCGCGCCACTCGGCCGGCCCTGTACTCATACTTCTGTTTTCTAATTTATTAATTCTGGTCACCAGCCCTGCTGTGACATCAGGATTTGGCGCTCTTGCCTACATGCCCCCTTCTCTGCCCTCATTCTCTTAATCTCGTTAAGCTCTCCGTGTCTGGCTATTTCACCATTGTTTGCATTGTGACTCTGCACGTCTTAAGCCAAGCTGTGCATTGTGATTGTTTCTTCCTGGCACAGTGTTAGGTTTTTCTTAGATGTAATAATAGCCTCACTTTTTATTTGCTTAGTTTTATTTGCTTAGTTATATGTCCCTAGTTATTCTAAATGCTCCATCACAAATATCACGCATGTATTTATTTACCAACAATTCAAACACTTCTAATCTATCATTTCCTTTTTTAGAAAATTGACTACTGCCTCCTGCTCTGGTCTCCACTGATTGCTCATCCTTGGACTTGTGTTTTCCTCTTTCTGGCTTTACTCCCTCATTTTGCTGGAGCACATCCTCTAGTAGCTTTCTGGTGTCTCCAAGGGCTGAGCCTTCCTGGGGATCAGTGGCGGTTAATCAGTTATTCTCTTTGGTCTCCGCTTGCAGGCCCCTATCCTCAATGTTGCTAAGTCAGGTGCCTCCTTTTCATCTATGGTTTGTCTTGTCTACTGATGTTGAAATGCCTTATCTACTGCTGTCTTTGCTCTCATTTCCTTTGACCTTTTGAGCAATTTATACTTGACTCTTATTGTCACTTTCCTGGTGTGTCAGGAGAAAGGTGAGGTGGTGGTGGTGATGAGAATAACAATAATATTAGTAATAACAAATAGCAATGAACAAATATTGAATCTTGCTGTGGGACAGACACTGCCATAGGGTTTTATCAGAGTTTACTCATTTGATCCTAAAAATAACCTTTTAAGTACCTAATAAGGTAGGTATTTATTAGTCCCAGAGATGTTAAGTGACTTGTCCAAGGCCATACAGAAGTAGAGTTCAGACCCAAGAGTCTGTGCTTTTTGCCTGCGTGCAGTATGGCCTTTTTGAGTGTCTGAGTGTTAACTGGAAGTCCTGCAGCAGACTTTCGATTCCATCTATGCTGCTGCCACAGGCAGCTCCCTGACTCAAGACACCTAGCCCTTCTCTCCTGGGCTTTTATAGTTTTCTGCAGTGTAGTCTGTCCTGGACTTTGTTGCTCTACTGACTTACCTAAATCACCTCAACCACCCTCTCCTCTCTTCTGAAATCCTGGGACCCACTGCCCACTATCTAGAGCAGGGGTGTCAAACTCAATTAAAACACGGGCCATTTGGTGCAATAGGCCAGATTCACACAGGCCATATCACATTTACAAATTTTGTTAAATTTATATTCTGAAGTGAGGATTCAGGAATATGGATAGGATAATTAAAACACTATATAATTGCTTTTATTTAAACATTTATTTTATTTAATGTATTTATAAAACTAAAATTATTCTTTTTTACCCAAGTGCTCTTTTTAACCTTTTCGCTATTGGGATCTGTTTACATTACGTGACACTGAGAGTGGCAGGCGTATCGCTTCCAAATGTCGCTGGAACTGAATCAGCGCGTTTATACATGCCCCCAGGCCCCCAGGAAAAGCACTGGGCCACGTGTATATTCGTCTTCAGTAGTTAAAGGGTTAACGAGGGGATTGTGTGTACGGTATTGCCTCGATCTCCCCCTAAGCGCTATTTTCTTCATAACAATTTTTTTCTATTTTCATTTTATTTCAGAGCATCGTGGGCCACAAAAAATTACCTCGAGGGCCGCATGTGGCCCGCGGGCCGCCAGTTTGACACCCCTGATCTAGAGGATACAGCCCAAACCACTTAGGTTTTCTGTCACCCTCCTCTAAACCTTTAGCTTCCTCTTCTTCCACACACAGCTCCTTCACTTCCTGGATTGGTTAAGACTCTTGATTGCAAGTGACTGAAACCCAACTGGCGCTGGCTTAAACAAAACCACAGCATTGGCTCACTTTGTGCACTCCGGGGACAGGCCAGTTGCAGGTTCGGCTGGCTCCAGGGGCCAAATTGCTGTTGTTGGAACTTTTCATCTGTTGGCTCTCTTGCTCTCTGGGTTAGCCGCCTCTCAGGCAGGCCCCTCCATGTGGTGACCGTGGCAACACCAGGCTTCCATCCCCCCAGCTCCAGGTTGACCTGAGAAGGGGAGTTTCTTTCCTAGTAGTTTCAACCAGCCTTAGAGGGAATGGGTGTTGGGCAGGTGCAAACAGCACAAGTATTCCTCTCCTCTGAGTTCTCCTTTCTCCCTGCTCAGCACCTGTTCATGCTGGCCTTCTACCAGGATGCAGGTTCCCTTCCTCTCTACTTCCTGAAGTCTCATTCACTCTCCCTCAGCACTGACTTGTGGGGTCCTCTCCTCGCCCTTCAGCCTCTTCTATGGTCACATGATCCTCTAATTGTCTTCTCTCTCCTGTACATCAATCTGCCATTGCGTTAAGGTGTATGGACAGGGCTCTGTAGGAGGAGCCAGCTGGGGCATTTAGAGGGGAAGGACTTCAGCTTTCTGTCCTGGGAAGGTCGCTGAGAAGGGGTGTGGTGGGCTGAGGTAGCAGGTGCATATGTGGGCTCTGGAGTCACATTTCCTGAGTGTGAACCCCGACCCCACCGCTCACGTGCATGTGGCCTTGAGCAAGCATTTCAAAGCCTGACCATTTCAAAGCCTGACCATTTCAAAGCCTTGGTTTACTCCTCTGTAAAATGGGCATGATTCTAGTCCCACCTTGGGGGCAGCTTGTCTTGCAGACAAAAGCATGCTTGGAACAGTCCCCAAAGCATTATGGGCATGCATAAATGTCACTCCCCTTTTCTTTCCCCTGGGAAGAATGCTTCTGTCTCAGCCTCCCTTGTTTCTGAGACCTGCTGCCTGGGACCTGCCGTCCCTGTAAAGGTTGAATTTTATGTTGTGGGCCGTGGGAGTGCATGCCTCTGGGCAGAGGAGGCGGCATACTGGCTCTCCACTGCAGCCCAATTTTGTACCCACATTTTCAGTTCTTCATTGGAACTTTGAGAAAAGCTAGGGTTGGTTGTTCTTGTCATAGTCCCGCCAGAAAATTTTCAGTAGCACTTACCGTATACCAGTTACAGTAGCTCATTTAATCTTTCCAGTAACACCAGGAGGTAGGTACTATTACTGCGCCTGTTTTAAACATGACGCGGAGATCCAAAGACGTTAAATTCCTTGTCCAGGCAATACCCTAGTCATTAGGGAGCTGGGATTTGAGCCCTGGGCTGACTCGTTCAGATCTGTGCCCCTAACCTTTATATTTCTCATAACCACACAGGGCCGTGTAAAGCAGTTTTCATTTTGATTTCAGTGCTGTTTTAGGCTGCATTTAAGTGCGGCGACAGCCGGCCTGAGCCTGTCACAGCCATTATGCGCGGTGCTCCGTCTGTGGGAGGTACCTCCCACAGAATTCAGCTGACTGTACCATTCTGATCTCTGCTTCTTTGGGGTGGAAGTTTGGTAACTTGGGCCATAAGGACGCAGCTTGTGTGGCCGGGTGCCTGTGACTGTGTAGGCAGCAGTGGCTTCTGAAAGGCTGCTAGGCCTAGTGTGGAGGCCGAGAAATAAGGTGCCCAGGAGAACTCTTTGATGTTTTCCATTTTCTTTCTAAGCATTATGGCCTTTGGAGTGTGCACACCTGACTGCTGCTACTTAGCCAGAGCTCTTTCCCAAGGTCACTGCCTAGAATGACCTGGCTCAGTGCCAGCGTCTTATCTGATTTCCGGAGCAAAGATAAGTGGAAGTATAGTACCTCTTTTGTTTTCAAAGTTAATCAAGATTGGAGGCAAAATATTAATGAATCCACTCAGATATTTTAAAAAGTAATATGAGGGTGGAGAATGGAAGAAAGAGAAGAAATATTGTCATTGAAGTTACATATCAAACATACATTCTGTTTTATGTGTATTTTAATATTGGCCAAGTGAATTTGTATGCTCAGCGACCTATTTGTATGAGTGAGTAAAATTCTTGCTGAATTAGTTCCACTCCCGCTGTAACACAGCGTGGTGTTTCCATCACTCATTCTGTGAGTCCCTCATCTTGGAGCCTGTTTCTCAAGCACCTTCTCTTCTAGAGGAGCAGACGTTTCCCTTCGTAACACTCGAGAGTGGGTGGTTCTGGGTGAGGAAATACGAGACCATAAGGCTCAGGTGGCAGCACCTGCGCACAGCGCTGGTGGCAGAGGCAGGGGTACAGTCTAGCCACTCTGACCCCAGAATTGATGTTTCCCTCCGTGGAGGAGCTGAATTCATCTGCAGATTATCCGGCAGCTCCTGGAGGCAGGCAGGTGTTATCTGGGCTTTTTACAGATGAGGACACTGGCTTTCAGTGTCACATAGCATCTGCGCCACCACGGTCAGAGGCGGTGCCCAGGCTACCTGCCTTGTGTCACGGGGTTTAGCCCACTCGAGCCTCATGTATGACCTTTTCCATCTCAGTACTGACCTTAGGGGAGAATCTCAGAGAGCATGAGGATGACGGAGACAGAATCTCCCTAATGTAGTAAAGGCATTAAAAACAAAACACAAAGAAAAAATAACCCATGCCAGCGTAAGTCATCGGAAGGCCTTGTACCTTGTTCGGGGAGGAAGTGTGGCACAATGGTTGAAGAGCCACAAAGCCTGGGATCCAACCCTGACCTGCCACTTTCTACTGTGGTGACCTCGGGCAAGGTACATGACCTTTTGTGCCTCAGTTGCTTCTGTTGGAAAATGGGAGGAATAATAGTGCCTCCCTCCTAGGATTGCTCAGAATTAAGTGAATGACTGTGTGGAATTCATATCTGGCGTATAGTAGGTGCCATGTGGTAATAATTATTATTTTTCTCTTGTCACCAACAGAATGTCAGTAGTAGTAATAGTAGTAGCATCTCGCCTGTTATTTGTAGCAATCGCTGGTGGCACATCTTGCCTCCTTGTGACACCAGCATCTTACACCTCGTGGAAAACTCCCAGCAGTTGCCAGAGGTCTGAAAATGATTGCTCTGTCTGGTCGAACTCGTTAACTGCACCGCCTGTCTTTCTTCCAGAGGCCTCAGCGTTGTCCCTGATGAAGAAGTCATCGAAATGTACGAGGGATCCCACGTGCCTTTGGAACAGATGAGCGACTTTTATGGAAAGGTAATGAGAAATGTTGGATTTATTTAAAACAGCCTGTCCTTTTCCTTCTTGAAATGTGGCCTGGTAGATTGTGCAGCCTGAACTACTAGACTCTCTGACTGTTCATAAAGAATTGATAAGGGCCGGCCGAGTGGGTCAGTTGGTTAAAAGCTCGCTCAAGAGTGTGAGCTCTGAGCAACAGGGTCACCGGTTCGATTCCTGGCCCGAGCCGAGCTTCCAACAGGTGCAGGATGGCTCAGCTAAAAAGAAAAAAAAGAATTGATAAGAAAATTTGTTTAGAGAAAACCCTTGGTTTGAGAGAGATTAGTGTGTTAGAGGCTCCATGGGTTCTCTCATGATTCTCCTTTTCATAGCCCTTTCCTCCTTACCTGACGAAGCCTTACACCTTCCTTGTACCTACTCCTGTTTGTCACCACCTGCCTGGTGTGTCCCCACTTTCTGGATTAAGTCTCTGGGGCCGTCAGTGCAGCAGCTGTCGCCTCCACTGAGATTGAGGGCAGCAGGTTACCATATGCCTGAAGGAAATGCTTTTCTAACTTTTATGATTCTCTTTCCTCTCTGAGTTTTTGCTCTTTGTCTAATTAGAGGCATTGTCGTATTTGCGTTTTCAAAATGCAGTGGGTAAGCTGAGTGTTATAATTTGCAGGCTTTCAGAGAAAGGCTCTTTTTAAGCTTCCACACGGGCTGTTGTGAGATGCTCAAATTCAGGAGAGTGAAGTGGCTTTTTCTGCCGTTCCGCAGGCAGTAACCTGTTTGCTGGCTCTCCTCTGTGTTTGGTGAAAGAGTGTGAGCTGGGTGTTGGACGGAGCACAAAGGAGAGTGGGAAGGGAAGGGGACGGTTAGACCTTTTGGGGGGAGATCAGGGCATTTCTTTGGATATGCCAGTTACGCTTAGAGTAAGACATCAGCTGTGCCGTGAATGGTAAGAAACAGGGTGAACATGTCTCCATTTGATTGTTAGCGTTTTCCTTTTCTCATGGAGAGGGGTGCAGGTGTTGACCAGCATGCCCCCCTGTAAAGGTAAAGTCTGCTGAGGCGTTGGTCCCCCTTTCTAAAGTGTCCTCCCTGCCTGCAGAGCTCCCACGGCAACACCATGAAACAGTTCATGGACATCTTCTCCCTGCCGGAGATGACCCTCCTGTCCTGCGTGAACGAGTACTTCCTGAAGAACAACATCGACTACGAGCCTGTCCACCTGTACAAAGACGTCAAGGTTGTGTTGACAGGGAGAGATGGTGATGCGGCAGCCTTTTCAGCTTTTCAGCCATGAACCAGAACCCTTGGCTTCCTTTGTAGCTTAGGTGTTTGAAATGGCCCTTTGCCTGGGAGCTCCTATATTTGCCGTTTAACCCTGAAAATTCTAAGAAAGATGTTACGTAACAGGGCATTGGAAATCAGTCAAGGTTATTGTTAAAAGAAACCTGTGTTCATATTTCACCTGGATTTCTAATTATTTCTGACCAAAGTCCAGGGCCAGGGCACTCCGCCTGTACCCAGCTCACCCCCAACCTGTCTGCAGGGAGGGGTGACTCTTCATACAAAGAGGTGGCCTGCACAGCTCAGGCTGTGACCAGGGGTCTGCAGTTTAGCACAGAGGGGGCGCCTTTTCCTCTTGCACACAAAGGTTCCATGTAGGCTTTCTCATGCCCCGCAGAAACTGCAAAAATCCAATCGGAGAGGGAGACAGATATGCACGCCTCATTTGTATAACTTTGTAGTTATATGTTTTAATTCGTATTCACTTTCACATGTGTTTATATGTATTTTTTAAAGCGAACTTTTTCGGTACTTAGTGTTTATATATTTAATATATATTTTGTAAACATGTATTATAAACATGTTTATTTATATATAATATATTTATATGTAATACATACTTATTTATATATTTGTATTTTTAAAAGATCCCTATTCATATACTATAATGTTTATGACTAATTTAAAATTTTGACTGCCCCGAATCATTTTAGGAAGATAAAAGATGAATTATAGTTTCTCAATATCAGGCTGGTGTTATTTGAACTGAATTTAAATATTTAGTTTCTCATCTCCTTTTTGTGTGCTCAAATACTTCATCTTTAAGAATCTTTAAGACTCACTTGTAGTTACGTAATCCTTTGCACTCATGAGGAGAGATATTTACTGGAAAGTTCAGCTTTTCCTATAAGTATTACTGTCGCTAACAGTGAACCCATATGCAGAGTTTACTGTATTCCAGGCACTGATTTTGAGTGCTTTATGCATATTAACTAATTAAATTCTCACAGTAATGCTTTGAGTTAGATGCTGTTATTATCACCCTCATTTTCTAGGTAATTGAGGCCTAGAGGGGTTGAGTAACTTACCCAAGGTCACACAGTTAGTAAGTAACAGAGCCTGGATTTGAAGCCAGGACTTGACTCTGGCTTGCCCTTAACCACTGCCTTCTGCCTGTGTGAAGCTGAAACAAGGCTGTGCTAGAAGGTAATAATCGAGGTTGAGTTTACAGTCCAGAGGTGCTCACACTTGACAGAAATCTACCAGTTTTCTAAGGCTAATGGCCCAGTTACTCTGCAGCCCAGTCCCCTGCCACAGGCTCCAGAAAGTTTCCATGTGCCTCCAGGAGTGTCAGCTGTGTAGAGGACCTGCCCCGTGCCCCCCAGGAGTGGGGCTGTGCTCTGACACCTGCCGGGCATCAGGCCGCCACATCCCTGGGCCTGCAGAGGGGTTCGCTGCTGCCTCCTCCTCCTGGTGTCTGCAGGCTGGACTGCAGCTCTGCCAGAGTTACGACCTCACTGACAGTTCCTCGCCTCGCTGGTAGCACTGAAGGGAGGAGGAGCATATCATCGGCCCTGGCCCTTTTCTAGATTAGGGAACCTGCTTTTGGGGTCTAGGAAAAGGTACAAAGATGAAAAGAACAATAGTGCCCTTTGCCCAGATGATTTCGAATCATTTGTTCATGATACTGCATATAAATTACGCTTTATTGGGTGGGGCTCTATTCAGAATTATTTGCACAAATTTCCTCCTCCAAGTGACCCTTTTGAAAATTGCACTGGAAACTGCCACTGTCACCATGGAAACTGAAGTTTTCCCCAAGGGTTGGGCGGGGGGACCTATGATAGATGGATGAGAATTTAGATTTCATTTAATGCTTGGCTTCTAGTGGTAGATGCTTTTGGGAGGGCCATTTCACTTGTACTGTTGCCCCTTTTGACAGGATTCAATTCGAGACGTGCACATCAAAGGGATCATGTACAGAGCCATCGAAGCGGATATCGGTACGTGCTCAGCATCGTCTGGAGGTCGGTTCAGCCTTGCCCTTGGCCCTGCAGCTGTGCAGCCTTTTTACTTTCATTCTAGATGCCGTGTAGGGCTGCAGCACCTTTCCGAGTGCCTTGCGAGGACTCTGCATCCTTGCCTTCCAGCCATCTCCCTCCCCTGTGCTTCTGAGCCTGACATGATCCTGCCTCAGAGGAGAGGCGCTAGCAGCTTGCAGCTGCTTCCTATTTTCCGCTTAGACTGAGGAGGCAGAGTCCTGGCTGCTGAGGCACTGGACACTGATAGAACACCCTGACCAAGCTCCCTTAAGGCTTCTTTCTCTTCCCCCAAGTGCCAGGGACAGCTCGGGACCCATAGGCCCTGTTCAGTAAGCACTTGCAGGTTGAGTTCACTGCACGCCGAATCCATGTATGACTTTTTCTCTTTCTCTTAGAAAAGTACATCTGCTATGCTGAGCAGACCAGGGCAGTGTTGGCCAAGCTGGCTGATCACGGCAAGAAGATGTTTCTCATCACCAACAGCCCCAGTAGCTTTGTGTAAGTTGCTCTCCGTTTCCTGGCCCGCTTCTGGCTCGCTTCTCGTATTGCATTTAACAGTTGGAAATCTGAAAGAACATGTTGCAAAAGCAGTTAATTCCCTTTAATGTTAGAGTAACTGGGCTGACGTATTCTAGGGACAAAGGGATGAGCTACATCGTTGGAAAAGACTGGCGGGACCTGTTTGATGTGGTCATCGTTCAGGCCGAGAAGCCAAACTTCTTCAATGATAAGCGGAGGTGAGTGTCTCTCGAGGGGACTAGACTTGATTCATTTGCTGCTGTCAATACATACGCAGTGTATCTTGGTGAAATCCAGCTGGAAAAGCACAAGCATCTGAAATTATAGCTTTTGGTGTTTAACCCTTTGAGCAAGTAATTGCAAGGAGGGTGAGATTAGTTCATAGCAGACACCTGACACGTCTTGAAATGGTTCTCAGTTCAACTTGGGCTGCTTCGGTCCTATGAGTCAGGGTTTAGGAAAATGACTGACAATGAAAAACCCAAACTTAGTACCACATGGTAAATTAGCCCTCTCGACGCAGGTGTGTTATAAAGCATAACAAAACAGCAATAGCAAACCATCTGGTGGGTAGCTCTTTAAATAGAGCTCTAAAGCTTTTAATATTGCAATTGGATTTTGCAAAACTTCTCTGCAATACAGGTTTTGCATCAAGTGGAGTAAATCTCTGCCAAGACTTACAGAATGTCTTTCTATTCCAGTAGCTTTGGGAAATAGGGGAGTCGAGACATTTTGGGTTGTGACAATGATTGGAGTTTGCTCTTAAGATTTAGTGGGTGGGGGTCTGGGATCCTAAACTATCTTTTAATGTGTGGGACAAAACCTGTTCACCAAGAGTTATCTCCCCCAAATGTCAATAGTGTAGAGAGTTACTGTGCAAGGGTTATAAAAATAACTCATATTTGTATAATAATGGCCTGTTTTGAAACACTTTTACCCACACTCATCTATTTGGCACTTGGTAACCAGGCAGCCTTTTCCCTCTCTGCTAGGTGAGCTAAAGTGTCATAATGTGGGGCCCTGTAGTTAGTGTTGAATGGATTAAATTCCAGCTTTCCAAGTGTCACAGTGACTCCTAGAAGAAGAGGCCAAGCCAAGAACCATGTGTAGAGACTGAGAATTCAAAGGAATGAGGGAAAAACTAGATAGCTGGTTAAAAACAGCTGTGCTCACTGGCTTGCTGCTTTGTTGCCGATGAAGCGTTCTCCCAAATTTTCTCCTTAGGTTCTGGGGTGTGGTCTGAAGGACTGCATCTCTCCTTTCACCATGGACCTCCTGTCCCTTGTCATGGTTACACACAGTGGTGAACAATGTCTTGAACTCTCCCCAGGGTGGGTTTTGGGGGGCAGGTTCCAGCACAGCGCCCTCCCACACTGCATCCATTTATTTTGTCTTGTTCTGGTGCCTGGGGTAAAAGCTGAACCATCCTCCATCTGTATTTATCCCTGTGTTATTTTATAATGATGAAGGTCAGAAACAACCTAAAGGAACATCCATTTGAAGGGATATTATGCAGCCATTAAAATGATGGATTTGGGGAAAAAAAGCAGTGAGCATATATTATGACTGTAAAAAATGATGTACGAAGAATATGTAATCACATGGGAAATTGCTCACAACATTAGAGAAAAAAAGATATCATCAGTATACACAAATGATCCTCATTTTATATATTCATTAAAAAAGAAAGATAACAGATGTACAAGTATAAAGACTGTCTACTGAAATGTTAAGTGTTTATACCTAGATACTGGAATTATGGGTGATTTTCCTTTTCTCCATTATATCTTCTGCATTTTCCAGATTTTTTTGAAATGAGTTTATATTTTTCTAATCAGAAGAACAATCCAGATAAGTGTTACCTTAAAAAAATAAAGGCAAACAAGCCCCTCGTCCTTTGGACTAGCACCCCCAGAGTGAGGAGTGAAGCCTTATTCTTATTTCCCATTTTCCATCATAAAATAGTTTGGTCCCCTGATTGGTTTTATATCTAGAATGGCTGAATTTCAAGTACAAAGCTGGCTAAGTATACTAAAGCAGTATTTCAGTGTTTTTTTGTTGTAAAACAGAAAGTTTGTTTTGTAGAAAACAAACATTTTCCATACCGTCAAATAAATTTGGGAACTCTGGGTTCAAGACAGTGTCTTCACAGGGGGCCTTTTCACAGCCTTTGGTAACTTTTTAAGAGGGACATATATATAGTGCATAGTGTTTTCCAAATGTGTTTGACCCTGGAGTTCTTTCTCCGCTACGCGTCCTCGGATGCCAAGGTCCACAGTTTGGGAGGTATTGCCCTGGGCCGGGGGATGTGGTGGCATTCGGTTTTAGGACTTTCTCAGGTTTGGGGAGCTCCTGTCTGTTTCCAGTGAGTAGCCGACTAGTATTTCACACAGCAGACAGCCTGCACGACTGCCACATGTCATAATGTCTCCCATTTCTGTTCTTAGACCTTTCCGAAAGGTGAATGAGAAAGGTGTCTTACTCTGGGATAAAATCCACAAGTTGCAGAAAGGCCAGATTTACAAACAGGTATCTTACGACCAGCTTATCCTTTTTGTTGCTTCACTTTGTGTGGTCGGTTACAATGATAACAGCTAACATTCACGGGGGCCTACTGTGTGCCAGGCGCAGCTCTGAGCACTGTGCTCGAATTGACTTTTTATAATCGGTGGCAAAATTTAAGCTTAAGTCAATATGTTTTCAATATGCTATATCTAAACTCAGAATTGAATAGATTTTAAACATAAAATTTAAAGCATTGCATAACATTTAAGATGTCAATAGTAAAGCTTGGAAAATTTTCTTTAAGAAGCATTTCATTCCATGGCCTATTACTACATTAGTTATTATTTCCTGACAAGCTATGTTTTATGTATAGTTTTAATATGTTTTGACATCTTGTAAGGCTTGCAAATGTTTGAATAAATGATTGAATTGAATTGTTGACCATTATTGCTGAAGTTAGTTTTGTTTTCTTTTTTAACATACTTATGCATTCCTGGTCGGTATATTAACAACCTGCTAGATTTGACATTAAGTTTATTTCCTAGGCCTTGAAAAAATTAGCTTTGATAAAGTCATTCCACCTCTAGAAAGTTAGCCTAAGACAATGATTAAGATGTAGCTAAAACCGTGGTATAAGAATGTTTATCATGAAGTTACTTACAAAATAGATAACAGAATAAATGATACAAAATAAATGTCCAACATCAGGGAATTGGTAAAATTAAGTATAATACTTCTCAGGAATGGAAATTACAAGGCAGGTTAATATTTGACCTGGAAAGATGGCTGCAGCATGTTACATGTGAAAAGGTCATTACAAAGAGTTATGTACAATACGAATCTTTTTGAAAAGTATATTTGACTTAGAAGAAAGGCTTAAAAAATTTCATACTATGATGCTTTTATCTTTACATTTTGATACTTAATATAAATCATAAAAGAAAAAGATTTTTTTGAAATTTTTAAAAAGCAGGTATTTTGGGCCATGGGTTATACACAGGTCTCTATCTGTCATATAATAGCTATGTTTTTCCTTATTGCAGGGCAATTTATATGAATTTTTGAAGCTTACAGGGTGGAGAGGTTCCAAAGTATTGTATTTTGGTGACCACATCTACAGCGACCTGGCGGTGAGAAGCCTTCTTTCCTATTTCGTTGTTGGGGGACAGACATGTTAGGCCCAGTAATTAAGGAATTTCCCTTTTGTTTAAGACCATGTTATGCTTTCATAAAAATGAGGAGCAGGCCACGTTATTTTTTTTAGTTTTTTTATGTCTCATGTTTTTACAGAACAGGATGGATCAGTCGTGAGAAAGATACATTTTTTTTTTTTTGCAAATAATGGAAATTAACAATGTACTCAGAATTTTCAGAAAAATCTTTCCATTTTAGTAATGGTAAGAAATAAATGCCAGTGTTCTTTCCTTTTCCTTTGAAGAATGTGTCAGAAATATACAACTACAACATAAAAACCCTAGACATCAGTCAGGGCTGCTTTTGCCAGCCAGTGACTTCAGAAGAGCATAAAACCGGCATTTCCAGGAAAGCGGTTATGTGAACATGAGGCTTTACATGCCCCTCGGGATGACTGGAGGAGCATGGCAGGACTTGAATTATGATTTAACCTATGGTATAATTGGAACAATATATAATTGGAGGTCGAGGGGGTCATTCCAGCGCCCGTGTATGGTGACACTTCCCAGGTGACGCCAGCACACCCCCTGCAGAATCACATGTGTCCACTGGGCTGGGGTCTAGTGGAAGGAATCACGGGCTCAGAATTGGAAGACTGGGGTTCTCATCCCAGCTCTGCTGTGTATTAGCTGTGTGACCTTGGACATGTCCCTCAAGCCCTGATGTCCCCATTTGTAAGAAGAGTGAAATCAGGTAATGTGTATAAAACTGCTTAGTGAAGTAGAACTATAAAGTGCTACTGTCAGGATGTCATCACTCCCAGAATGTCCAGCCCATGGTATCATGCGCATTTGTCTCTTGCGATGTGGGGTCTTTGGGCCCTGACGCGATAACTAGCTGTGTGCTACCCTTAAGGCATGTGGGCACATGGCCTTGTGAGATGACACACACACACACATGCAGGTCTTAGCTTTATGAGAGGTAATCACGCAGCAGTACTTCTTCAGGTGTGGTCCCGAAGCGTCAGCATCACCTGGGAACTTGTTAGAAATGCAGATTCTCAGGCCTCACCCCAAACCTATGGAGTCAGCAGCTCTGGGGGTGGGCCCAGCCATCTGTGTTTTAACCAGCTTTCCACAGTAAAATGTGATGTCAGGGTAATTGGCCTCATAGAATGAGTTAGGAAGTGTTCCCTCCTCTTCAGTTTTTGAAAGAGTTTGGGAAGGATTGGTGTTAATTCCTCTTTATTTATTTATTTTTTTATTTTATTTATTTATTTTTTTTAGCTGAGCCATCCTGCTACCTGTTGACAGCTCAGCGGCTGCTCAGCTCGGGCTGGACTCGAACTGCTGTTGCTCAGAGCTCAAACTCTTGAGCGAGCTCTTAACCAACTGAGCCACTCGGCCGGCCCATGGTGTTAATTCCTCTTTAAATGTTTGGTAGAATTTACCAGTGAAGCCATCATTGTTAGAAGGTTTTTCGTTACTAATTCAACCTCCTTACTAGTTAGAAGTCTATTCAGATTTTCTATTTCTTCATGATTCAGTCTTGGTAGTTTTTGTGTTTCTGGGAATTTGTCCCGTTCATCTAGTTATCGAAGTTGTTGGCATACAGTAGTTTATAGTACTTTTTAATCCTTTTCGGTAGAATCAGTAGTAATGTCACCATGTACATTTCTGGTTTTAGTAAATTGAGTCTTCTCTTTTTTTTTTCTAAGTCAAGCTAAGTGTTTGTCAATTTTGAACTTTTTGAAGAACCAACTCTTGGTTTTATTGATTTTTTTTTCTAGACTCTATTTTATTTATTTCTGATCTAGTGTGTTCTTCTTTTCCTAGTTCTGTAAGATATAAGGTTAGGTAGTTGATTTGAGACCTTTCTTTTTTAATGTTAGTGTTTATAGCTAGAAATCTCACTTTTAGCACTACTTTTGCAGCATCCTTTAAGTTTGGGTATGTTGTGTTTGCATTTTGATTTGACTCGATATTTTCTAATTTCCTTTCTCATTTCTTCTTTGACCCATTGGTTAATCATGTGTTGTTTAATTTCCACATATTTGTGAATTTTTCAGTTTTTTTCTTCTGTTGGTTTCTATTGGGTTGTCAGAAAAGTCATGATGCATGTTTGTGACAGATGGCACTAGTTCATTTTTGGAAGTACTAGAGTCATTCGCATCTATGTTATTCCTATGTCATTTGACGGCTGACAATTTTAGCTTCATTCTCAAAAAAAATTGGGCGATTTGGTTGAGTTTTGGAGATTTTACAAGTTGCAGATGGAAGACCAAACTGTGCATTTTTGCCATATTTTACTGTTTTACTTCCATAAAGGGAAGAATGCGCGTCAAGCTTGTGAAAAGTTGCATAAAGTTTATGGTGACAACGCTCTATAAGAACATCAGTGCCAATGATGGTTTATGAAATTCTGTGCTGGTGATTTTGATCTCAATGACACTCCTCAGTCGGAGGCCCACCGAGGTTGATGATGACAAAATAAAGGCATTGATCGAGTCAAACCCATGTTACATGACACGAGAGATTGCAGAAACATTGAACATCCATCATTCAAGTGTTCATGACCACCTGAAGAAGCTGGGATACGTAAGCAAGCTTGATATTTGGGTTCTGCATGAACACAAGGAAGTTCATTTGATGGCGCGTATAAACATCTGCGATATGCTCATTAAACGTGAGGAAAATGATCCTTTTTTGAAGCGACTGATAACTAGTAATGAGAAGTGGATTGTTTACAACAATGTGGTGCAATGATGGTCTTGGTCCCGACATGATTATTTGCCTCAAACGACATCGAAAGCAGACATTCATCAGAGAAAGGTTATGCTCTCAGTGTGGTGGGATTTTAAAGGTGTGTTTTTCGAGCTCCTACCAAGGAACCAAACAATCAGTTCAAATGTGTACTGTCAGCAATTGGACAGTTTGAACGAACCATCATCCAGAAACGTTCAGAGCTTGTTAATTGTAAAGGAGTTGTGTTCCATCGCGACAACACGAGACCACACACAAATTTGATCACTTGTCAAAAATGATTGGAGCTTGGATGGGATGTGTTGCCACACCCACCATACTCGCCTGACCTTGCGCTGTCAGACTTCCACTTGTTTTGCTCTCTTCATAACTCCTTGCATGGTATAACGTTCAATTTAGATGAGGCTGTAAATCAGCTCCTTGTTCAGTTTTTCACAAATAAAGACAGATCCTTCTATGAATGAGGAATTATGAAGCTCACTGAAAGATGGCAGAAGGTTATCGAACAAAACGGGCAATATATCACTGATTGATCTTTGTTCTTTATATAAATAAATGACCTTTGAAAAACATAGACAAAATACATCATGACTTTCCCGACAACCCAATAGATTCATATCTTGTGAGCAGAAAAAAAATACTTTGTATGATTTCAATTTTGAAATTTTTTCAGACCACTTAACATGGTGTATTTACTTGCTTATTTGTTCTCTGTATTTCCCATGAGTGCAGGGATTTGTTAGTTTTTGTTCATTCTTTTATCCTCGTATCTAGAACAGGGCCCAGCAAATAGTAGTGCATACTTCATAAATATTTGCCAAATGAGAAAAATGAGTGACCCTTTAGTATGGTGTGTGTATATCTTAGCTTTCCCAGGACATAATTGGCATTAGGTAGGCTGGTCTGTTGTCACATCATGGGGTTACAATATTTGGAATGAAGATTGTGATCATGTGTGTTTATGTTGTAAGATCAAGCCAAATCTGCGATTCCGCGGTTCCCCTAACCCACAAGGCCTGGTGCACGGCGGGTGCTCCTCAGCCAGCTGTGGATGAGTTGAATGAAGACCTTCAGTAGCATCTCGCTTCAGCCTCTTCCTGCCCCTGACGTAATTGTTGTTTTACAGGCCATGGTCAATGATTTCCGACCCTGTGTTTCTGCAAGGGCTGTGACTCATAGTCCTTATTTTCGGAATACAAAGTTCCTCGGGCGGAAATGGTCAAAGCCTTGAGCTAACTTGGTTTTAATTAAATGTAATTCATTGAATGTGGCTTGGTTAGTAACCAACCATTACAGTTAAAACGTAATTCAATGAATGCCTGTTGTGTCTGGGAAAGGTAATGAAATGGTTTACATTCTGTTGAGATTGATGTTGACGTTCTGTGATCTTTGCGATCAGGATTTGACCCTGAAGCATGGCTGGCGAACTGGTGCAATTATCCCGGAGTTAAGATCTGAGCTCAAAATCATGAACACGGAGCAGTATATTCAGACCATGACCTGGCTGCAGACCCTGACCGGGTTGTTGGAGCAAATGCAGGTTTGGGATTTTTCTCTCTCATGCTTTTTATTTAAGCCTGAAGTTAGTCCACTAGTCAAAGTTACTGTAGGTATTTTCTGTTTAATTGTGGTTATAAAGTATGAGGCATAAGCCGTCCTGCAGAATAGCTACTGGATTATTTTGCCCCTAAGAGAGTTTTGCCAGTATCCCTGAAGAGATTTTTAAAAATGCCCCCAGAGCCATTTGGACAAAGAGTTTTGTGGGGCCTGTGTGAATACAGGTGTTCGTTTACGTTCCTTGTCAGTGAAAATCCAGTGCCCTCACTTTGCCACTAAAGCCCCACTGGGAGGTGACCTGTGGGGTAGTGGGATTTGAGAACCATGGCCAGTGTTTGGGTCTAGTCTTGCTTCTGCCTTTAGCCTGCAGTGGTCCTTGTCGTTCTGGGGTCCTAGAGAATGAACACTTCAGGCTGGGCACCACAGCTTACTGGAAACTCTCAAAGCAAGCGTCAAGGTCCTGCGTGCAGCTTCCATGTGATGATGATACCCACAGTTTGCTGGCTTACTAGAGTGCAGTGCCAGTTTTTCCTTTTTGTAAGTTACGTCGCCAGCTCTGGACAGTTAGTGAGCAGCGTTGGTTTTAGTGGCGATTTCCTGGCCTGTGAAGCTGTCCCCCCTCGCAGCTCTGACCTCCTTCCCAATCTCATGAGGCCCCCCGCTTTCTCGCTTGGTTCAGCTGGCCGAGCCTGCAGCCATCTCAGTGTGAGTGCTGACTCTTTCAGGGTAAGGGGCACAGATGCCCGCTTTCTTGGCTGACGCACCTGGCAACCTGTGACCACGGCCAGGGAACTGCCTGGCCTGGCCCAGCTGGCAGCCGTGTGGAGGCAGCTGGCAGTGAGCTCAGGCAGAGCTGTGACGGGGAGGCCAGGTCGTCACTCCAGGATACACACACCCCAGAGCATGGGCCCTGCATGTCCCCTGGGACTTACTTCCATGTGTTCAAGCCTCATGGGTTCTTGGCTCACCTCTGACAAACACTTGTTCTGTTTCCTTATGACTTTTGTCTGTGAGATGATGTCCTAAAAATAAAAGGCATCGATTCTGGGTTAATGTAGCCTTGAGTCTGTGCATAGGGCATACAGTAATAATAGTTATTCTTTATACGGCAGACATTGTGCTGAGGGCTTGCTCTACATGCACTAGTCATTTTATAATTTTTCCACTTTAGAGTAAGGAAATGGGGTGTTTGAGAGGTTAGGCAGCATGTCTGAGGTCATAAGATGAGAAAGGAAGAACTTGAACCTGGGCTTGTGTGATGCCCAGGTCCATGCTTTTGAGCACTGCACTAAGTGCTTCCCTGCCATGTGCTGTAGGGGTCTCAAGTGTGGCCAAGGACTCCTCACCTGGGTGCAGTCTCTCTGTGATGCTGGCAGCTGCTCAGATACACAGATGTGACCTGCACGTAGATGGTGTCCCTGCATTTTGGCTTTGAGGACAGTTTCTCTGCTTTACTCTCTCTCTCTCTCTCTCTCTGACCTATATAAAAAGTTTGATGACTGAGTGTATGATTAGAGAACGGAAATGCTGAGAATATTTCTGTGATTCCTAGAATTAATTATACAAGGTGTAAGGTTAGGGAAGGAAGAAGGGGAAATGGACATTTATGTTGCCACCCCCATTTTGGAGGAGAGGAAGCTGAGGCTAAGAGATGAATAACTTTTCCAGAGTCACCGGGTTAGTGAACAGCGGGATCAAGCTCTTTAGGAATGAGAACGTACTGTGTTCCAGACACTAAGGGCTTCACATCCATTTCCTTCTCGCAACTCGTTGAAGTAGGTACTGGCATCATCCCCATGTTACAGATGAAGAACCTGAGGCTCAGAGGAGAAACTAACTCTCGAGTACGGGGTGATGCTGTGACCCTCGCCTTCACCTCCCCTCTGTATCGCCCCGGGCCCTAACAGTTTATACAGCACGAGCTTGCAGAGGATTGTGGCTGGTTATTAAAAAACTACCCAGATGAGGGTCATTTCTCACTGCCCTCCCTGTTCCCTTTCCACTGGAAAGCGATAAATTATTCCAGTGTTTCTAGAACTCCCCCTCGGGGCTATTTTCAGAGCACACAGCACATTATTGGAACCATTTTCTGAGGAGAAAAATCAGTCCTCTGAGATTCGGTTTGATGTTTTTTTGAGCCAGCGGAGTATCGGCTAGAGCCAAGTCTGATGCGTTAAATACAAGTACGTATATATATAATTTTTGGTTTTAAGAAAGTAGCTATAAAGAATAATTTCGTTAACTAGCTTTAAAGGGTCCCCCAAAATGGTGTGGTTAGTGGTGGCCGGGTTGGTTAGTGGTGTGGCTAATGGCGTTAGGGACTTCCCAGGTAACCCCATCACAGCCTCATTTAGCCCTGGGGCTGGCAGACTTCTGTCACCTGCTTTGTAGCCTTAATATGTGAGTGGCTGCTTGTCATTGTGTCCCCTATAACTTTACTGGTGGACCCTAAAATTTGAATTTCATATCATTTTCTTGTATCTCGAAATTCTCCTTTTGATATGTTTTCAGCCATTTAAAAAGGAAAACCCATTCTTAAGCTCATAGGCCGATAGAACAATGGTGGTGCACTGGATCTGGCCTCCTGGTGTAGGCTGCTGGGCTGCTGGCTAGGTTGTCATGTCCTGCTGATACAGGTGGGAGGGCAGGTAGGGTACCTGAAGCCAGCCTACGTTTCTGCTCATGAAGAGCAGAGGATGCTAGTTAACGGCCGGGCTAACGATGGCTTAGAGTCCAGGATCCGCCTCTGGCGGGGGCTTCTGGTTCTCTCTCCCGGTGCAAACTACCCACTCTGGAGTGGATGGTTTCAAGCAAAGATGTGTTATGCCTAATTAACACACAGTCTTTGAAATATTTTAAAGTACAATAGATTTCAGACACCTGAGACGGTGGTTTTCTGAAGTTTGGCCTTGTAGGGGAACAGAGCCGGAGAAAGCGGGGGACTCAGGGAAAGTCGTTTTTTTAATGGGAGAGATTTTAGCCTGTTGAAATGCGGATCGGAAAGATCCAGGTGAGGACGCTGATCGAATGGGAGAGATGACAAGTGATGGGCGGAGGTTCTCGGGAGGGCAGGCAGGAGGTGGCCACGGCAGGTGCTGGGTGGGCGTTGGGTAGGAGGGCCTGAGGGGAGGCTAGGTTAAGGCGCATACCCACAGAGCTCAGAGGATCCTGCCCTGGGAGTGCTCCCCTGACCTCAGATCTCTGGGGCCTTCCTCCTCTGCATGGCCCTTCAGCAACCCTGGGCTCTGCTGGAGATAATCCGTCACTCTTTGCTGCGCCTCCATACTGGAAAAGCTGGGCTGGAGAACATGCCTTGAACTTGGACACCCAGCTTGGCTCTTCACGTCTGCAGAGCCAGCCCTGGGGTGGAGGGCCCACCTGAGGGGCAGGAGTAGATAGGAGCATTCACGTGGCCTGTGGCAGCTAGTTTCAAAAAGGAAAGCGTAGAGACCTTGGCAATTCTTATTCTGGTCACCAGTCATAGAATTCTCCCCTCTGGCAAGCATGGGGCAGAGTATAAAGGCTTCTCTTCATACTGGAACGAGGTGCCTTGTCCGTGGGCTAAAAAGGGTATGTGGGCAGAGGTGGGGGGGAATTCCCTCCCACAGACTGACCCCCACCCGTAAGGGCCTCCATCTTGTCCTGTCTTGTATCTTTAATATTATATCAAGCACCATGCTCAGCACATAGTAGGTACTTAATATATATGTGTATATGTGTGTGTATGTATATGCATGTGCATATAAGTGTGTATATAGATGCATGTATGTTTATATGTATGTATGTCGTGTGTGTTTGTGCATGCATACATTCCTTGCGACACCCTACAAATCTTTGATCTAGTCACATACTGTGTAGAGCGTAAATTGTATAGCAAGTGATTTGTTGATTAAAATGTGAAAGCTAGTTAAAACTATGCTCACAGAACCACCAATACCCCTAGAAGTGCCGGGCGATTGTCCAGTGCTCCAGTAACACACAGGCAGTGGTCATTCAGTGTCACTGCTTCCTGGTGGCGTAGGCAGTGCTGTGGAGCAAGGACCCCAAATTGCAAGCTCAGGGTTTTGTCTGAGTGGGAGAGCCCTTAGCCGTGCCTGTGAGGCTGAGCTGGGCAAATGTCATAAACAGAAGGGCCTTGGCTCCCACGTCCAAAGCAGATGGTTTGCTTATTTGTTTTTTTCCTCTGGGTCCTAAGGCCGCCCTGTGACCATGAATCGCAGGGAGCCACCTGTCCTCTGCGATCATGTGCGCCCCTGGCTCTGGCCGAATGTTTCTATTTAGCCACAGGAACCTTGTAGAGAGACTTGTGAGATTCCATTGTGAGGTTGTGGGCAGCTGTCATTTTCTTTTTGTTCATATTTCAGCCCAATCAGAAAATTCTCTGCTTTTCCATCTCGCTGAGGTACTTGACCTTCTTGCTTTTTTACAAAAACAATTTTTTTTTCTTTTAAATACTTTAAAAGGTAATAGTAAGGAAAAAAATTTTAAACAAATTGTAATTCTACTACCCTTGTGCAAATCAAAGACAATTTTCCATGTTAACTTCCATATATATATATATATATATACACATATTTTTACATGCTTCCAATTAGTGGATGTACCGTTATACCTGTTATTTCCACTTAACTGCCATTTTTATATTGATACATCTATAAAATATGTGTAATAAGTAGTATGTATTATTTATATGTCTATATATGTAATACATATGTGTAATGCATACATTACCCACATATATAGATATACGTATGTTTTGTGTGGATACCTATGTATTATGTTTATACATAGCCTTTAACAATGGTTTAGTATTTCTAATGGGGCCTTGTTTAATACCTTCATAATATTCCATTTAATTCGTTAAGCCCTATTTCTGTTTTTGGACATTTAAAACTATTTTGGTAAAGAGAGACGGTTGCAGCTGGGAAGTCGCAAAATGTATTATTTTGTGCAAGTGCCCGTCTCTTAGACTTCAATAAATTTCTCCAAGAAAATCTGCTGTTGTTAATTTGTTAATGACCATTAACAAATGCTCATTACCTAATGCGTTTATTTGCTACTGGAACGGTCTCAGTAATTGGTTTGTGCCCTGCAGGTTCACAGAGATGCGGAGTCACAGCTGGTTTTGCGGGAGTGGAAAAAGGAGAGGAAGGAGATGAGGTAAGAGCAGCCTGTTCAGTGTAGGAAGTCCGTCACCCTGTCTGCGCGTGCCCAGCCCACACACCTGCCCCAAGCATCCTTTTTTAGCTCCCAGGTATGAATGTGACACCCCCATGGTCCAGAACCACCCATCTGTTGTTAACGAGTGGTGTGTGACATTTCTGTGAGGCAGCGGTGACCTCCCTCACACCTCCTGCCCTTGTCATTTGTTTGTTTTGTTTTTTTCTTTTAGCAAATGACGATGCTGTTCTGTCTCTCACCTAAACTCACAGGCATAACTTACCTTGATTCCTATCCATCCCTCCTCCCTGCCTGCTTGACTGTCCCCATTTGGGCAGCCGGTGGCCCTCTGGTTAGTAATGCTGGCCGCGCAGTGTGGCTCCTGGGACAGTATTGGAGGTGGGCCCCGAACCACAATGGGTCCTTGGGAATCCTGCAGCCCTGGTGCACATTTGTAACCTCAGCTGTTTCAGGAGTGTGCCTGCACTCAGTGTCATTATGTTTACTGATGAAGAATGCCCCCTGCTATCAGTACAGTTTGGCAGGGGTGCCTTTTAAGGGAACGGTTGTTCAAAACAGGACTTGTGGACAGTCGTGCTTCCCTGAGAGGATGGTGTTGTGTGGACACTGTTTACATGATCATTTTGCTCTGGTCTTGGCCTCCCCTGCTCCAGGCACAGCTGTCTCTAAAGTTTGGAAGTCGTGGTCACTTCCTGGGTTCTGGCTTCTGAGCAGAGGGCTGCCTGGTTGGTGGGGAGGTTGGAGAGGGGACAGTCCATCGCCCGGACTGCAGAAGCCATGGATGTATTGACTCAGCCTTCCTCCTCCCTCTCAGGGTGTTGGCGGCCGGTGGCTATTCTGACTTGATTATCACTCTAACATCGGTCCAAACATGCTGGGTGAGAGGGTGATGGGCATATATTGTGATTTGACCCAGGGCTCCTCGCCCCTGGAGGCCACGCCTGGATCCTGCACACTACGGACCACAGATTATTAAAGGAACTGTTTCACCCGGCAGAGATTTTGGGTTTGAATTCGAGTTTCTAACAATTTCATATCTCAAGGAGACGTTTTAGTAAAATTTTAAACACTATTTATGTCATTCCACCCACAGACCTAATTGAGTTCTTTTAATAGTCTACTTTTTGGTTGTCACATCTACTGTCACCAGTATGACAACAGGTAACTACTACCAACTAGCGCCTTTTATTACACAACTGTGCAAATGATTATAATTTTTGTTATATTTGTAACTGATTTACTAACAGTCAAATGGTATTTAGCCATTTTGCTGGAATGTTCTAGCCATCAGATGATGTGCATATCCTGTGTCCATGTGATTTACACCCAGATGCACATACGCACACCAGCAGGGGCTTAGATTCTGGGGTGGGGTGAACAGCCTCGCAAAATCCTTGTAACCTAGGCTTTGAGGAGGCAGTGGGGTGTTTGAAGCTGAGTAATGGGTGGTGGAGATTTATTTTCGTTACATAAAAGAATCTTTAATTTCTCTGGTATCAGAGTACTTCTGAGTTTATAATATGCTTTTACTTCTCTTACTCAGTTTTTACTATAGCTTTATCAAAGGGGGTCTTGGTCTCGCTCTGTGGGTGAGGGAAGTTCCGAGGCTCTGAGAACAGTGTGCATCTCTCTGTGCACCTTCAGAAGCAGCTCCTGCTCCTCTGTTTTGACTGGGAAATGTGGTGCTCAGACTTAGAGGGGCATGCGCACTGGGCCCTACACAGTGTCCGGTCAGTGGCCTCAGTAGGAAATGCGATCAGTCATTCGGATGGATGGGCGGACAGACTGTTTTCCTGATTAGAAAAGTCAGGGCTGCCCTTCTAGGCTAATTTTCCTTTCAAAGGATTCCTGTGAAAATAAAAAAGTGATTTTGATTTTAGTACCTTACAAGCAGACTTTTTTTGCACATTCTCTGTTATGCCCTTCTTTTCTTGCTTCTTCAGAGAAATGACCAAAGGTTTCTTCAACGTCCAGTTTGGAAGCTTGTTCCGCACAGACCAGAACCCGACCTACTTCCTGAGACGCCTGTCACGGTTTGCTGACATCTACATGGCATCTCTGAGCTGCCTCCTGAACTATGATGTCAGCCACACGTTCTACCCCAGGAGGACTCCACTGCAGCACGAGCTTCCCGCTTGGTCTGACGGGACCCCCACCTTCAGACTCCCCCTCCTGCAGGAGGCCCAGGCCAAGTAACCCAGTGCCCACCTGTGGAAAAAGCCAGGAACAGCCACGGCTCCGGATTGGGTGGACATGCCGCGGTTGACTTTGTGTGGATACGAGTGTTGCTTTCAGAAAAGAGACAAATATGCCCATTGATATTTATTTTGTACCTTACGGAGAATACTCCCCAGGTTGTTAAGACAGAAGCTAGCAGCCCACCAGCCCCGCCTTCCCGCACATGTCGGGCTTAGCGGCACACTTCACGTGGGGACTCTGTAATCCGCCGCCCTGTTGCCCGAGGTACTGCAGCTAATGTCAGTTTTTCACGGACTGGTGAGACTTCTTGATGCCCTCTCCGTATTCCAGCAGGTGAAGCTTTGAAACCATTCTTGACTCCCCGCTGGAAAATGTACTGAACATTGACAGGCAGTGCACTGGGGACGGAGGGGCACAGTGACATGCAGCCATAAACTGCTTACAGAAAGCTGATGGTTTAGTGAGCTCTCCAGGAGCACAATTGGATGACCGTGAGGAGCACACATGACCCCCAAACCGCAGCTGATGCCCGTCACTCGGTACTGGGGCTTTGGCCGTCTGGCACATCACTTGAAGGAAAACAGCCTCCTTGGAAAGTCTTAAGCGAGAAAGAACAAGAGAAGGTGCAAGTCCTTGGCCTTGATTGTCCGCAGTGTCCACTTGTTGTGTCCTAGCCCCTGCTGCGGAAGGACAGATGGTGCCACAAGTGATGGGCAGGTTCACTCTCTTCCCCCGAGGAGGAGGGCGAGGAGAGAAGGGCGCTGGTTCAGTTTTCAGCTGGCAGAACAGACTTTGTGAATAAGACTGTGAGCCACAAGCAGGTCAGAAGAGCCAGCGCATTGTGGTGGGTCCCCAGCCGTTGATGCACCTGAAAATGCCACCCAGGCATTGGTTTCATGTGCTCATTGGAGGACAGAAAATGAAAAAGAAAAAAAAAAAAGTCCTTGCAATGAAATACCATGCCATGCCCCTCACTGGGCTGTGTTGGTATCTTGTTCAAATATAGTCGTTACCGGAAACAGTCCGTTTCTGGGGAGCGCCAGACATGCGTCTGCCTCGCTCATGGAGTATCAGCCGAGGAGTGGGCTTGCATTCAGCCTGGGAGCGTAGCCTCCCCTCACTCCCACTTCTCCTTAGATTTCTTTCTGGCCATGTTTGTGTGGCTATTTTGGGAGTCGGGGGGAGGTTGGGGGGTGTTTCTTTAGGTGTCTGTTGCAGGTGGGAGAGGATAAAAAGGTCATTGAAACGAAGAGAAAGAGAGTTAGAAATTACTTAGCTAACTGAGTATTTCTCATTTCTTTCTAAGGATAATTCAAGTGACATACCTTCTTAAACCTCATGGATGGCAGTCACAGAAATGGGGCTTGTGGAGGGTGCTTGCGAATTCAGCATTTTTATTGTAATAAATGTATCGGAGCCAGCTACTGACAAATGCTAGCTAGGCATGCCATCTGCTGCCTGCCAGAGTGCAGAATTTAAATGGGGTATATAGCATGCTCTGTAATGCCACTTGCTGTAGTGGGATTTTTATTTGTGGTGTTTTTCTTGTATTTAACTATCGTAGTGAAGGTGACCCTTTAGACCCAATAGACCCAGGTAGACCCCTTTTTAACTTCTTAATTTTATTATAGACAAATTATGTAAAAAGTCCATTCCTTTTTGGGAATGGGGTGGCCTTTTGTTTACTGTTTATTAGTGCCCAGGTGTTTTAAGTATCAGAGTTTACTGGAGACTGGTATTTAAGGGGTACAGGTGGATGCCCAGAACTGCTCAGTGTTGGGGTCCTCAAAGGACACACTGGTGCTTTTGGCTTATTATTCCTGCTTTGGAGAAGCTGAGTGAGGAAGTAGGTATTATTATTATTATTTTTTAATTTCTTTGTTTTTAATCACATATTCATTGGATTGCTCCAAGGTGCCAGTTTCAGGGTGTTTTGTTTACTCAAGAATGAAGTAAAACAATTTTTGAAACCTGCTTTCATGGATGTCTAGGCTAGGTGACCCAAGCCTTGGAGGAGAAATATATTTCTGGATGTGAATAATGAATTTTATAATTTCCTACCGGGTAAGGTTTTAGTCTGGGGTCTGGGCCACTGAATATGGCAGTACCGAGATGCGCCCCGTGGTGGCGGTACTGAGATGCTGCCCGTGGCGGCGGTACTGAGATGCACCCCGTGGTCGCAGCCTGGCATCTGTCTCGTCGGCACCCACAGAGAGTGTGCCTGGCGACTGCAGACCTGTGCCCGAGCCAGCAATACGGGTCAGGACAGCCATCTGCACATGAAGGACAGAGGTCTTCTCAAACTTGCGCTCAGTGAAGATAGATTTTAACTTGTCATTGTCACGATTCGGCTGGGATTTGGAACACTCCACTGGGCTTTTTGTCCTGTCCCTTTTGTCCTCTGGTGTGCCCATGAATGAAAGCATGTTGGTGCAGAGGAAGTGGGTCTATTTTCCACTCTTTAAAAGAGAAATTTGGAAAGTGAGCAGCATAAATTTAGTTTGTATATTTAAAAATACTCTATTTTTAGCATTGGTTAGGCTGATTTTCTAAGAATCATGTGAACAAAAATTCATAGTCCAGATGCAGTCTGTGCCAGCTGAACACGAGGTGCCCAGTACCTGCCTTGGAAGGGACTTGCACAATTGATTCTTCCCGAGTTGCTTTTATTGATGAAACCTGGCTTTTAAGATATTTTGCAAGTTTGGCTTAGAGCTTCCACTCTTTAGTTGCATTTTTCGCTATCGCAATTAATGCCACATAACATAAACCACCGGTTAGTGTTTCAGGCACATCTCAGACCCAGTGACTAGTTGCTTTGAGTGCTTTGGCCCTCTCAATTATGGCAAAGGAGAAACGAAAAGCAATCTTTCCTGCTGGCTAAGTTAGCTGTGGGGGAACCAAATGGCTTTTCCTCTCTTCCTCGCAGAGGCCTGTGAAGCAGTTGAGTGTGCTCAGTACTGGACTGAACCCCCCTCTGCCGAATTCTCTTGTGTCAAAGGCCCACTTGCGGGCCCTCTTGTAGAAGGCTCTCAAACTGTGGCCAGAGGCAGGGCTCCTTGAATGCCCTGTTCACCTAGGGACCCTGTGATGTGCCCTCTTATTTTAAATTTCTTATTGTATCAGTTTCCTCCACTCTCCCCTCCCTCTCTTTCTGTCTCTTACTTGCCTTAGCATTTGGATGCTTGGCTCTGAGTTCAGCTAACCTCTACACCTTCGTGGGTTAAGGAAAGGAAAGGGAGTGAGGTTTCTGTAATGCAGGGGTCAGCGAACTTTTCCTGGAAGGGGCCAGACAGTACATATTTTCAGCTTTATAGGCCATTTTCTGTTGCCACTACTCTAGGAATGGCACAGTTCTGTTCCTTTAGAACCTGATTTACAAAAACAGGCCGCAGGCTGGATTTTGCCCTCGGGCCATGGTTTGCAACCCCTGCTCTAACGGGTTGTGTTGGTGGCAATGGCGAGGTTACTTTGCTGAAAGTGTGCAGATAGACAACCTCATGGTGGGGAGCAGGCGGTAGAAAGAAGCTCTATAGAGAGGTGCGCCGTATTCCCCTAGGAGCTGCTCTCTCGGCATATTTATAGTACTTACATGGACAGTGGTCAAATACTGTGTTTCCAGCACATGGCATAATTGCTATGTGTCATTGAGCTGCTAGGCCTGTGCACTAGTTGAATATACCTCTTTATCGCACCCGTTTGTCACTGTGCTTGTCGTGGGTGATGGGTTTGGCTGCCCAGCTCACCAGCCCTTCAGAAAACCGAAGGACTTATTCCCCCAACTGCTGGGTGTGCTGCCCGCTTTGGGGTTTTCTGCTGCTGAAAAGCCCCGCGTCGGACGCCCTCTTCCCGTCTCTCTTTCTCTCCCACGCGTGGGTCCTGAGAACACACCCTGTGTACCTCCTGCATGTGAATCTCCGTCTCAGCGCATCCGCTGTCCAGGGAACCCATCTCGCAGCAGCACCTCTGTACTTTTCTGGCACTGTAGGCCTGAACTCTTGACTTAGGAAAGCTGTTTTCTAATTATTTAGAAGAATGACAGATTGTGCCAGCGTGATAACCGGGCCTACTAAATGCAAACTAGATAGACATACTATATATATTTATTCTGAATGTGAATTTGCTATTTATTTTAAATGTTGATTTTATGTTATATGATTTTGAACTTATTACCAAATAAAAGTGAAGTGTATCATCCAGTTTTTTGTAAGTCATCTGTTTTAGTGTGTTTCACTTAATGACAAAGCCATACCAAATTCTAATGTACTCAAAAAAGAATACCCCTGAGAGAAGGGGCAACAGGTTTACGGTGCATTTCTCATGACTCTTGTCCCGTCACTCCCAGCGAAGAACACCTGCTTGCTTTCAGAGCCTGAAGACTGTGTCATTAAAATGGAAAATTGGCGTGAGCGTGGTTGGAGGTGCGCAGCAGGTAACCCACCTGGAATTCCCATTCTCTCACAGGCAGTTCCTACCCCGAGAGCAAGGAGCTGGAATCCACATGTCTGTCTGCCATTTAATTACCAGGAAACTGGAAATTGGAAACAATATCTTACGGTAAGAAAATACTGAATGATAATACTGAACTAGGAGTGAGTGCTATGAAGTCAAATCACTACTGGGTTTTGGATAAATTTATAAATATTTTGAAGAGCTTTTTAAAAACCTCTGTGTGTGTGTGTGTGTGTGTGTGTGTGTGTGTGTATGTGTGTACACCTTAATATCCGTGACCTGTCATTGTGCCAGGACCTTAATCTCATTCACATTTCCTATGGGTAGCCCACTGGTTTTCATTCCAGTCACTTGCCTTTTTGTACCTGTGATGGTGGCGTCGGTAGACCCACCAGCAAACCTGTCCCACATTCTTTCTGGGGAGCAGTTTCCTGGAAACGTGGCATTGCTCCCACCTAGGTCACCCTAGAGGAGAGGGTGAGCTGTGCCTCTGCCCGATACTGGGACTGCTTCCCTTCCCTGGAATTGTGAAAAGCTGATAAGACCTGTTGGGATTTCCAGAACTTGGGACTTGGCTCAGCAAACCCCCCGATGATGTGGAACCGAGTTCTGTGGGCTGTGAGGACGACAGAGGCGTGTGAGATCTGCCCCACCCAGCCTTTCACTTCTCTGTCCCAGCACAGATCCCCACACTTGGCCAGGACTCCCTCTGTAGGGACAGTGTGGAAATGTGGGTGGGTTGGAGGGTGCTCAGTTGTCACAGTTGTCACATATTGGGGGGGGAGGCGCTTCTGGTATTTTGAGGTCAGGGACCTGGTGTCATGGACATTGTGCGTTGCAGGGAGGGTCCTGCTATCACCACTATAAATTCCAGAACATTTTCATCACTCAAAAAAGAAACACCATACGTCTGCTTTCTGTCTCTGAATTTGCCTATTCTGAACGTTTCATGTAAATGGAATCACACAGTATGTGGTCTTTTGTGTGTGGCTACTTTCACTTAGCATGCTTCCAAGGTTTATGCATGTTGTCGCGTGTGTCAGTACTTTGTTCCCTTTAAGGGTGGACTGACATTTTACTATATGGATGCACCACAATTAGGTTATCTGTTCATAAGCCGATGGACGTTTGGGTTGCTTCTATTTTTGGCAATTATGAATAATGCTGCTGTGAACATGCATATATGAGTTTGTGTGGACATGGTTTTGTTTCCCTTGGGTATATACCTTAAAGAATTTTCTGGATCATGTATGGTACCTCTATGTTTAACTTTTTGAGGAACTGCCAAACTGTTTTCCACAGTGGCTGCACCATTTTACACTCCCACCAGCAATGCATGAGGATTCCAGTTTCTCCACATCCTCGCCAACACCTGTTATTATCTGTCTTTTTGATGATAGCCATCCTAGTAGGCGGGAAGTGGTACTTCACCGTGGTTATCACATCTTCTTAAAGTACACAAACAAGCAAACAAAACAGAATTAAGAAATAATTCATAAGGCAGATGTTGGCTAATTGAAAAGGCCTTAATTAGTTGTAGTAGATGGATTTTATCTTCAAAGTTTGACCCCTCTGGTGGTGAACAGTGTTTTTGTTTCCCAAAACTCTAGGTTTGTTTCACTGACTTGACTCCTGTTCCATAAACGTTTATTGAGCACCTTTCATGTGTCAGACACAGTGCCAAACGCTAAGACACAAGATGAATAAAGCCAGCCCCAGCCTTCGGGCGCTTACAGTCTAATAGAAAGGGAAGATGAAGTCACAGTGACTATGGAGTCAGGTAGGAAATGGCATCTACAGCTACACAGGACGGAGGGCGGAAGGCCAGAGGAGGGGCAAGTCCCCCTGAGTTGGTGGGTGGGGCTGACATGGACCCTCCCCCACAGAAACAAGAGGCCCGCAGATTCACCAAGACATGAGGTACGGCTTGAGTGCTTTATATTTCCAAATGTGAGAGGACCTTAGGTCCCCCCAAGGAGATGGTGCTGAGGGTTCACAGTGGATGGCCTTTTTGAGGAGGCTCGGGTGGCTGTGGGTGATGGCTGGTCGGGCCCTCACAGCGCCCCCAGAGGGTCACAGCTCTCCAGCTGCTGGTCTTCAGAGTCCTGGAAAAGAGAGACCTGTGAAACGCAGAGAGGGCTCAGGCCCTGGCACTTGTCGGACCTTTCCAGGTTGAGTGTTTTCTTTTGGCATTAATGGGGTTCAGGACACACTACCCCAAAACATGGCACCTTGGCATATTAAATATCTTAAGTTGAAGACAGCAAAAGCAGGAAGGTCACTCTGACCTCCTCCCCTTCTCCCCCTTCTTCCCTGAAACAGGTCATAAAACTGCCATGGGAAGGGTCCCCTCCTTGTACCATGAGGATGGAAGGGACTCATCACCAGAGATGAGGAATCGGGGGCCAGGAGACCTGTACAAACCAACCTTGTTACACTAACCTTATCTTCCTAGTTACCCCTGCACCGCTTACTACCTCTAACCCAAACCCCTGTGTCTTGTCAATTCTTCAAAAATATATTGCTTCTTTGTCTAAAAGTACAAAAACTTCCTGCTCCGGTCACTTCTTCATGTCTTCCTTCTCCTGTGAGGGTTCCATAAACATGCAGTGAAATTCACATGCTTTTCTCCTGTGGCTCTGCCTTTGTCACTTTACTTGTCAGACCCAGCCAGGGACCCTAAGAGGGTCGAGGAAAACTTTTCCCTCCCCTACAGCCTAAAACACAATTCTTCCCCAGGTGCCCTGGGCACACGCGTGTGGCGGGAGTATTCCTTCATGCTGCTGTCTCATGTCTCATGTCTCATGGCTCGTGTTGGGACGCAGGACGGTGTGATGGTTAGGGCTACCCGTTCTGGGGGCAGCCACTGCTGCCTGAAGCTTATGTGCCCTGGACAAATCATTTCAACTCTGCTGTAGTTTCCTCATCTCGAAAAGGTCATAGTAATATTTACCTCACAGGGAGGTGTGAGGACTAAAATTAGATACTACGTTAAGGGAGGGGCCACCCCACACAAGGTGGCTATTCGTATGATTACCAAAAACAAATTCATCTTGAACATTCATCTTGAACAGGGGTGACCCTTGAGCATTTGAGAGAGTCAGTCAGAAGCCATATTCCAGAGGCTGCCATCCCAAGCCTTTTGCTGTCTTTAGCTCTGATGATCACCGAAGCTTTGTTAATTAGCATAATAGATGTGTTCAAGATGTCTGCACTGGCTACAAGTACTCTAGGTGCCCCCCACCTTTCACTATAAAAGGCATGAGAATATAGCGCATCACTTGGGGACGGTACCCTCAGCTCAGGGTTCCTGTTACTGGAACGTTTTTGCAACCTGGTCTGATGAGAAGGTTTAGGTGAATCCTGCATCTAGGATACTCTTGCCTGCCTCAGGTGAGTCTCTCTTCCATGGGGCTGATGGCGCCCTTAGAAGGGGACAGAGAGCTGAGAAGGCAAGGAGCACCTCGAACAGGACAGATACCTTTCCCTGCTTTTTAAATGAGGTTGATTTCAATGTAATGCTTGCAGAAGTAAACTATTAATAAATGCAATCTAGCTGAACCTACCCTTGCAATTTGGACTAGAAACTTTCACTTAGGTGTGATT